GTGAACCAGTGGATGGAAGGCCTTTCTGTCTCTCCCTTTCTCTGTATGTAACTCTACCTCTCAAATAAATAAGTAAATCTTTAAAAAAAATATAGTCACCTTTTGTCTCTTTTTCTTGCCTTATTGCACTGCCTAAAAACTGAATAAAAGTAGTGAAAACAAATATCTTGTCTTCCTTCTAATCTTTATGAGAAAGCATTCAGCCTCTTATCATTAAAAACGATGTTCACTGTAGGTTTTTCATACAGGCATTTTATCAGGTTGAAGAGGTTCATTTCTATTTCTTGGTTGTTGTGATTTTATTGGAAAAGATGCTGAAACTTCTCAAATGCTTCCCTATATCCATTCAGAGGCTAATATGGGGCTTTTTAAGTTAGTAAATATGTTATACTAGATTAACTGACCTTTGGATGTTAAACCAACCTTACATCCTGGAATAAACTTCACTTTATAGTGATACATTATCCTTTTAACTTTTTTTACTTAATTGAAAAAAAATTTGTTTAGAATTTTGGGTCTATTTTCATAATTTTCCTATCTCCCCACCCCTTCTTCTTCTGTCTTTGTTAGGTTTTGACCTCAAGATAATGCCATCTACACCAAATGAATTAGGAAGTACTTCCCCATTTTAAGTTTTTAAAGAAGAGTTTGAGCTGAACTGGCAATATTTATACCACAATACAGGCACAGCTTAGCTGGGTGCCTCTGGCTCAGGGTCTCACATAAGAATACAGTCCAGGCATCAGCCATGGCTATAGTATTCCAAGGGCTGACAGGAGAGTTTCTTCTAACAAGTTCATGCACACTGCTGACGGCAGGCCTCAGAAGATCTGAAATTCATTCAGTTGGCTGTAAGTCCCAGGCACTCTCTGGATGCTGACTGGAAATATCAGTGACTTTCCACAGGGTAGCCATACAAGGGCAGTTGTCTTTCCTCAGAGTAAGCAGGTGGAAGAGTGAGAGAGACCCAGGATGGAAGCCATAGTCTTTCTGTGGCTTAATATCAAAAGTGACATAGAATTCATAAGAGTCAGGGAGTCTAGTTCATACTCAAGGAGAGGAGACTGCACAAGAGTATGACGACAAGGAGGTAGGAATTGTTGGAAAACATTTTAGAGGCTTCCTACCATAATTAAACATAGCACTATTTTTTTTTTTTTTTTTTGGTAAACTGTCCGATATCTCGGTTTAGTTTAATTGCATGGCACCTGCACAAGTGACCCCACTGTGGTTTAGTCTGGTCTGTCGGGGCCTCTGGCAGTCAAAGAAAGCAGTTTGGCTAGGGTAGAGACAGGCAGTAAGGAAAACAGCCACGATGGTGGGAGGTGTGCTTTGGCCGGTTGGTATGGCCGCGCCTGCCTGCCTCTGTTAGGACCTGTCAGGCCACTGAGGCCTCGAATCCCCAAACCAAAACTGGGCACAGATAATCTAAAGGATAGTGGAATGTCTGCTACTTGAGAAAGGTCCTCAGCTGCACATTCCAAATGGCTGAGACAAGACACTGAAAGAGACAGAGAGAAAGGGAGAGGGAGAGAGAGAGAGATTTTACCAACCAGCCCTTCTGCAACCAACACTATCTTATTATACTAATATCTATAGAATTTAAAAAGATATCATCTCTTTCATTCGTTATTTGAGTAGTTGTATCTCTTTTTTCCCTGATCTCTTTGCCTCAAGATTGGTCAATTTTATTATCTTCATAAAGAGACAGCTTTTGGGTTCACTGACTTTTTTTCCACTGTTTTTCTATTTTTCATTTTACCAATTTCTACTCTGATCTTCATCATTTCCTTCTACTACTTACTTGAAGGGCTCATTTGCTTTTTTTTTCCCCTCTTTTCATGAAGTAGAAGCTGGAGTCATTGATAAGGGATCATTCTTTTTTTCTAATATGGAGTTTAGTACTCTAAATTCCACAACTTTGATATGTTATATGTTCATTTTCATTCAGTTCAAAAGACTTTCTAGATTCTTTTGATTTATTATTTAAGATTTATTTGAAAGGCAGAGCAACAGAGAGGGAGGAAGTAAGGGAAGAGAGAGGGAGGGAGAGAGAAACAGACAGGTATTTTTCATTCATTCCCCTAAATGACTTCAACAGTCAGAGCTGGGCTAGGCTGAAGCCAGAAACCGGGGACTTCATCCAGGTCTGCTACATGGGTCGCGGGTGACCAGGTACTTCAGCCATCATCTGTGCTGCCTTCCCAGGTACCTTAGCAGGAAGCTGGATTGGAAGCAGAGCAGCCAGGACTTGAACCAGCCCTCCAATATGGGAGGCCAGCATAGCAAACAGTAGCTTAACCCACTGCACAACAACGCCATCCCCTTGATTAACTGTTTAATTGTAAGAAATTTGGAAGTGTTTTGTTTAGTTTCTGATTATTTTATAATTTCCCAGAGACTTTTCTGTAACTGATTTCTTATTTAATTCCATTGTGTTCAGAAAATATACTTCGGATGACTTGCAGCCTTTTAAATTTAATGAGATTTTTTATGTGGCCTAGAATGTGATCTGTCTTGTTAAATGTCCCACATGTACTTGAGAAGAATGTGTATGCTGCTGTTGTTGAGTGCAGAGTTATATAAATGTCAATTAGGCCAAGACTGTTGAGAGTGTTGTTCAAGTTTTCTATATGGATTTTTTTCTGGTAGGCTACATTTAAAAATTTTTATCAAAAACGCAAATCTGCAACTGGATCTAACTATTATTAAATTGTTAAAATATTGTTATTCACCTGGCATCCAAACACACATGCACGTGCACGCACACAGCCATGGATTTCGAGGCTGCGGAACTGAAATGAAATGAGCATCTGATGGGGATGCTGCACTCTGGACAAGTTCCACTGTTCAGCAAAGCATTTTCAAAGTGGTTATTTTATCTTTCCTTGTTTGACCTTGTAAGCTACTTAACTGCAAAATGTATTTTCATTCACAGTGTTTATTATTTTATTCCTTATGCCAAGTCATGCTCCCATGGCAAACAAAACAAGCTGAAAAATCTTTAAGAGAATGAAGCAAATATAGGTGTTTCTACTTCAATGCTGTTTACAGCGATTCCTGTCTTTACAGGATGTATAAATGCTTGACAAAGCTTGCTTGTTGCAATATTGAATATAAAAATAATGGGGACAGGAAAAAACATGATGTGCCGTAACCAGAGTACTAATACAATGATAATTATCCCAGCTAAAATACAATTACTAAGTAAATATCTATTACTTTTTGTACCTTGTATCGAGAAAATTAAAAAGGATAATGGGGCACGGAACAAGACCACTGGGTAGAGATGTTACTTTAGATACCTGGTCAGCGAAGCCTTCACTGAGGTGACATGGGGGCCAAGAACTAGAAGATGCGAGGGTGCCAGTCATGGGCAGACCTGGGGAAGACTGCCAGGCAAAAGGAACCACAGGGGACAGGAAGTACCAAACCATGAGATGGGAGTAAGCTTAGAGTGTTGGAGGAACCAAATGAAAAGTGACTGGGGAAGCCTCGGGTATACTCAGGTCAGAGTGCATGTACATATGCCATGCAACCAAGTCTCTGCTGCTTAACCATCAGCCATCCTCTGTACCTAAAATGCCAGAAGGCCTGCCAGACAACTACAGCTGGCTGATCCTCACTTAAGTGCCAAATTCATAGGCAACAGAGCACAGCACACTTGCTGGCCACAAGGTGTGAGACTGGAATGGGGCTGGATGAGTTGGGTCTGGGAGGGAGTTGCTGCATTCCGACTGTAGGCACCATGCAGAAGTGGGCTGTGGGCCAGCGGAGGGGGCTGCAGCAGGGTTTCTCAGGAGGCAGCTGCCCACATGCAGGCACGGCGTGCTGGGGTGGAGAGACAGGGCGGCCCTGAGGGAAGCTCCAATATCAGCAACAGCAGGGTTCTGCGAGCCCCTTCAGATGAAGTCATCATTTTGCTTCTGTGGTCAGCCCTGAACCCTGGATACTTACCCCAGCGAGCCAGTGACTTTACAGCCAGCCAGAACTGTCCAGCAGAACAGCTGTGCAGTAGGGCTTTGGCAGTAGCCTTAACCCACCCAGAGTGGCTTGTCATTCAGAAACTTTTCTCCACATGGTCTTTTTTTGTGTGTTTGTATTACACACAAATACAAACATCTCATCTTCTCAGGAACTGCACTGCACCCTCCTTTGTGGGGCGAAAGACACTCCCTTCTCTTTGCTGGGTCCCCCTGTAGCTGTTAGTACAATCCCAGGCTAGACCTTTCTCCTTCTCATGAGGGAACTGTACTGCCACGTCAGGCCAGTTTCAGGCAGAACTCGTGCATGAGAGGGGGAGACGAGTTGGCTGATTCTGGCTAGCAGCTTGGGGGTTTCAGGATTTGATTTATGGGGAATAAGAAACTAGGCATGGGGCTGCTTACCTGTTCTTCCTGCAGCGAATGGTGAAGGCAAGAAAAAAGAGCATCAGAAGAAGGCCACAGCTGAGCAAAGTCCACACAACACCCAAGAGGGCAGGAGATAATGAAGGGAGGCTCTTACTGCTATGGTGCGAAGAGGTCTGAGGACAGAAGAAAGGAAAATGGTTAGGACGGAAGGATCTTGCCTGGACCAAACATGAATACCCCGTCATCACCAGAGCTGGGAAACAGTATGTCCTGCATGACTGGTTCCTCTGCCCCCACCCCACGGCCGCCACCACCGACAGCACTACCAACACCAACAACAGGTCTCACTCACAATTGTCGTCCCGCAGAGATCGTGCAGGGGTCTCCTATCCAACTCCTGGGCAGGAACACTGTCACACAAGTCAGAGCAGTTTATTTCAGACTCCATGTCACCATGCGCTGCTATGGTGTGCACTTACTCACAGTCTTGGTTACCCATCGGGAGGGATGCAGCTCTTTGACGCAAACACAAGAGCAACTCAAATCTTTTCTTCAGAGGCCCCATATTGGAGCTGGCTCCTGGCTCAGAATCCAGGATGAAATACCCATTCACGTGGAAGCGAAGGGTTATTTCATGAGGCTGCTTCATCAGATGCCCTCCAGCATCAGACATTGTCTAACGGGTCCCCTGCTGCCGGGGAGTCCAGAGAGGACCACTTCGCAACCATCTGCTTCCACAAAGCGACGATTCTGGCTTGCCACCAGATGGCAGTCACTGCTCCAAGTACTCGCACCCTGAGCCCTGAAGAAAGGAAAGCAATAAAATTTGTTACACACACACACACACAACACAACACATACGTAACACAGATGATTTATCACAAAGGTCTAACATTTCACATATTTTAATTATATGTAGCCATATTTTTACTATATATGAAGTACTTCAAAAAGTTGAATTAAAAGATGAGTTTATTTTGGTACAAAATATTTTGAAAATCATGCATTTTTATAACATATTTTCATTGAACTTTTTGAAGTATTATCATAGATTTGTATACACTTATATAGACCATAAAGGTTTGAAATGTATTCAAAAATCATTAAGCAGCATTTTAAAGACAAAGGGAAAACATCTTTAACAATTTCTTGGTTTGACTGCAGTTTCTCTTCAGTCCCTTATGGCCCAGCACCATAAGAACTTTAGTTTAGACTTGGGCACGCTGTCCTTTTTGTCCTACTGGGAAACTCCCTGCCATTCCAAGATCTCTGTGCAACTCATGGCTTAGGCTGTGCTTCTGGGTAGCACTGGGCTCAAGTGCCCCATGCTGTCTCCATTCTCTCAGTGAGTGGAGGAAAATTCTATGTCCCATCAGCTGGGGTCACAGAAGGGTACCCAAGTCCTTTATCAAACTGTTAGACTAACAGAAGTAAGACAGGTTATCCAGGTAACAGGGAGAGAAACTGAGGGAAGTAGGAATACCTAGAGTCTGTGGCCAGAGGATGGGGTTATTTTTCTCAGATGATGCTTGCAATATGAATACTATGATCTAAAAAGAAGTTCAACCTTGGGGGACAAAAGCAGAGAAGTAAAAGTTCAAATTAGCACCAGCAGAAAGGGCAAACACAATCATAATTCTTTGAAGCAATCCATTCTTTAATAGAGAAAATAGAGTTGAAATTTTACTAATTGGAATTTTAAAAAGAATGCTACTTCTAGTTTAGGTTCTTGAAACTGCATAGTTTTCTTTGATTGTGGAGGAAACTTGGACAAGGAAAAAGATATCAACTACTATAATTCCAATAAGCACTGACCATAGGACCTACTTTTAAGCCAGAACAATACTGACAGGTATAGAACGCCAGCTTTGGATTCTGTGTGCTTGGGCATGAACAATACAGCACCAGGTGCTGCCCATTCATTGGCCTCTCAAATGTTCCTGAATTATTTACCACGTTTATTACAATGAAATCCCAGAAGAATTAAAAGCCACCATCTCCCACCAAGACATTTAAATTCTTGTGGAGTCAGATTACTGAATGTGAAATTAATAAGCAAATATAAAATCTTGACTATCTGCATTCTAATTTAGGTGAGATTTCAACTCATGGCAAAAGAGCATTTTTTTTGTTTTTCCTTTTCTTAAAAATTAGATATCTCCTGTTGAGCCCTCTAGCATAAAGCAATATCACAAACCACAGGGAGGACTATTCCACATGAGGGACTGGAAGACGATTTTTTTCCTACCATGGCCTTTTTAGTCATACTGGTGAGTAAGTACACTTGTATTTGAACTATGAAGTCTATGTTAATGTATCCTTATATCGTATTGGAGAAGTGAGACTATATATGTATGGTTGTGTAAATATAAAATCTAATTTAGCTTTCACTTTATTTTTTTTTAGTTTTTACTTCTGTAGTGTTGTGTGATATAAACATATTTTCAAATAAGAAAATGTGAAGAGCAGAGAAGTGGAGAAACTTGCTCCAAATCTGCAGAGGAAGAACCTGGATCCAGGGATTTATATTCCAAGGTCAACGTCTTCCCAGTATACACTCTACATGGGGCATACACTCTGGACTGACTTTCCTAGTATCAATTGCTTGTTGGGTTTCTCCAGGTTTTGTTCCCAGAGCTGCACTTCTGTAAATCCCCTGGAGCATGGCACACCATAGTGCATCAGTACCAGTGCTTCTCAACTGGGACAATTTTACATCCCAGGGGACACTTGGCAATGTTGGAGACATTTGTGGTTGTCAAAATGGGAAGCTGGTACTGCCAAGATGCAGTAGGCAGAAGCCAGGAATGTGAGTACACATCCTACAATTCACAGTATGCTTGAAACAACAAAGAATTATCTCATACCAGGTGTCAACAATGCTAAGATTGAGAAAGTTTATGGATCCCAGAAGGACTGACAACAATAAGCCCAAATCATCTTTGAGAGTCTATGAACAAGATGAGATTGTCTATCTGACCATAAAGTTCTGTGGGATGCAAATCTGACTTGGGATACATTTCTGACTACATTCCACAACTCCCCTTTGACAAAATTAATCTATTGGCTTGGAAGTTTGAATGCTAGACCCTCCTCCACTCCAAGGATATCCTGTGTAGGAACTTTATATAACATGATATTGGGCTCCCATGCAGGGTAGCCATTCAGCTCCAACTACATATTGTCACAGAGGCCTACACATGAGGAGTTGGTAAAACAGAAAATGACTCAGTAATTGAGAAGAGAGAGTTGAATGTTGAATGGTGTCAAAATATTGCATAACTGGGAAAGTGGGTGGCACTTAGAGAATAAAGGTGAAGCATCTGATTACAAGATAAAATTCAGAATCTAGACTTGCCCCAAACAGTAGAGTTAGAAACATACCAGGGGATTCCAATTCAATCCCATCAAGATTGCATGTACCAATGCCATCTCACTAGTCCCAGTGATCAATTTCTGTCCACAATTGATCATAGTGATAGGACTAAGAACCAAAGGGATCACATAAATAAGACTAGTGTCTGCAAATACTAATTGATAGAATAAAAAAAGGAGAGAACGATCCAACATGGGAAGCAGGATACTCAGCAGACTCATAGAATGGCAGATGTCCTAAACAGCACTCTGGCCTCAGAATCAGCCCTTAAGGCATTCAGATCTGGCTGAAGAGCCCATGAGAGTATTTCAGGCATGGAAAGCCAGGACACTCTGGCAAAAAAAAAAAAAAAAAAAAAAAAAAAAAAAAAAAAAAACAAAACCCAAACACTAAATGAAAGATCTCTGCAAGTGAGATCCCAGTGGAAAGAACAGGTCATCAAAGAAGGAGGTACCTTTCTCTGAAGGGAGGAGAGAACTTCCACTTTGACTATGACCTTGTCTGAACAAGATCGAAGTCAGCGAACTCAAAAGGCTTCCATAGCCTTGGAAACTCATGACTAGAACCTAGGGTGATTACTGATGCCATAAACAAGAGTGTCAAATTGTTAAGTCAACAACAGGAGTCACTGTGTGCTTACTCTTATGTGGGATCTCTGTCCTTAATGTGCTGTACATTGTGATTTAATGCTATAACTAGTACTCAAACAGTACTGTTCACTTTCTGTTTCTATGTGGGTGCAAACTGTTGAAATCTTTACTTAATATATGCTAAACTGATCTTCTGTATATAAAGAGAATTGAAAATGATTCTTGATGTGAATGGAAGGGGAGAGGGAGCGGGAAAGGGGAGGGTTGCGGGTGGGAGGGAAGTTATGGGGGGGGAAGCCATTGTAATCCATAAGCTGTACTTTGGAAATTTAAATTCATTAAATAAAAGTTAAAAAAAGAAAATATTTCAATAGTCACTCCAAATGAGTAACTTTACTTTAATTAGAATTTAATCTGCAGTATTCAATGGAAAAAAAATTCAGAATCTAATACATAAAGAGAAAGGTCTTCCAGTCCCTTCCAAAAACAACCCTCCTGACATGTCCCCAACACAAAGTCACTAGGGATAAGCCATCTATGTTGCACACAGTAGTAGACCCAAGGCCATGTATGGTAGTAACTGAAATTTACTTGACAGACATTACAAAATCCTTCCAGTGATTAGAATCATAAAATCGATGCTGCATTGGGTACACTGTTCCCAAGTGCAAGATGGTCTTTCACAGGTTCACAATTCTCAACAGCCCCCTGAATTTCCACAAAATCTTCCCTGTTCTTATATTCCATTTTTTTATGGCCATTGAAAAACTAGTCATACATCAACTGTCTTATAACAGCTTTTTTGCAGTGGGTATGATTTCTACTTCATCCCATGAAAAACTGCCTGGTATTGGAAATACTTTCTGTCCACAAAGAGATTGAAAACCAGACAAAGCATATGAAACAGCTCTTTGCAGGCATTGGATCATGTATATTATAGGAATGCGGTTCCTAAGAAACCCTGTCTAGAGGCAGTTTCTGGACCACAGCACATAGTGGGAAAAGTGACAGAAATCTAGAAGTCTTGCTGATGTTTGAAGAACAAATTGAAGCATGGAGTAGTTGAGGTGTGTGGAAATTGTGTGAGTAATGGTGAAGAGAGAGGGAAGGCAGGAGGGAGGGAGGGATGGAAGCAGGGAGGGAGAAAGAAAAACAAAGAGCTAGAGAGGGAGGGAGGGAGGGAGGAAGAGAGGGAGAGAGAGAGAGAAAGAGAGAGAGAGAGAGAAAGAGAGAGAGAGAGAGAAAGAGAGAGAGGAAGTACTTTGGGAATATGCAGGCAGTTTCTATGGTGTTTTCCTGAGTATTGATCACACCATTAGAAAGAAAAACCTACTCAAAGTTGAAGAAATAGCTCCTGGTAGGCAGTAGCTGAGCAATTCCCAGAGTTCACGTGGGGCTGGAAATACCTATGTTCCCATCAACCAGAGTAGAGAGACCATATAATATACAGGGCATTGGGTAGAATCCTCAGAAAAGCCATGTCTCATTATTAGAACTAAACCCTAAATCAGAAGCTACTCTAGAGCTTTCCCAATAATGCTCAGAAGAAAGTTTCAAAAGGATCAAAGTCATCCACAAAGAACTCAACAGCATTCTAGAACACAATCAAAAATACTCTTAAGGATATAACAAGATCTATAATTCAACAACATAAAATCCAAATGTCCAACATCCAATATAGAATTAGCATGTATTCACAGAGGCAAGAAAGTGATCTATATGTTTTAAAAACCCAGAAATAATAAAAATGATATAACTAGCACACAAAGACTTTAAAACAATTACTATAAATGTGTTCTAGGATATAAAGCAAAAACACAAACAGAATTAGGAGAG